CTCAGCCAAGACACAGCCAGTCCTCCAGAGCATGCAGGGACAGCCCAGCCACCTCCTGGGACACACGGTGGAGCCCAGGGTTGGGGGGGTGGTGGGAAGAACCACTCAGGTGCCATTAGACTCAAGGCCATGATGCCCCGCCTTTGTTTTCTCATAAGACTCAAAAACTCTTCCACACGCTGAATCCTGAGACTTCCCTACCCTGTCCTCCTTGCTGAATGTTGTTGTCAAGTGCAGCCCACAACAAAAACGCCTACAGGTGTTTTCCTCATCCTGCATCCAGCATCCTCATCCTCACACTCCCCACCAGCTCACCGTGCAGCATGGGACAGAGCAGGGGAGTCAGTACAGAGAGAACAAGATGATGTGCAGATAACTCTCACAACTGAGGACCATAACTAACATTTATTGCACGCGCTTCCAGCATTAAAGGAAATACACCGAAAGGAACAGATACTCAAAATGCCAGCAACCAGAACAAGGAAGGCTCAGAGCACAGATGGAAGTCTGCTCCTCATCTCCCATTACCTCGCTGTCACATCAGTGCCACACAGGCACAGCCTGCCTTCCTGGTGCAGCGCAGCGGGGTACAGACGTACCAGAGAACTGCAGTGGGAGTGAGCAGCCCCCAGAAGGCACTGCAGGCACCCAAACCTCATGGGCTGGGAACCATCCTGGCGCTTTGTTACTACATCCTGCACGCTGTAAGCTTCCGTACCATTCATTTATTTGCACAACACAGCTAAAAGTCTCCACCAGGAACAAAAGCAGTCAAGGAGAAACAGCACCCACCTCAGCAGATCATCGGAGCTGGACAAGAACCACCCAAACCCGATCCTCAGTCACCTCCCAGGGCCACGAGCATCCTCACACACGGGGGAGCTGCCCGTACCCAGGTGTCCCCGCAGGCGCTGGGTGCCCCGGGCAGCCCACCTCCATAGCACAGCTGGCAGGAACCCACCAGCCCTGTCCCAGAGCACGCAGCATTACCTCTTTCTTCCTCCTCTTGATTTTGGCCGCCTTGCAGTCTTTCAGCTTCTTGCATTTCTTTTTTTTCTGCGCAGCAACTCGCTCCTCTGCGAAAAACTCCTCCAGCCCTTCCAGGACCCCATCATCATCTTCTGAGGACGAGAAGGACAACTCACGTGGGCGGCCTCCCCGCGCACAGCTCAGCTTCGCCCTCCCTGCGCAAACCCGCAGCCGCTCAGCGCCGCGCCCTCGGAGGAGCGCCGACACCACGCGAGCTCAGCGCCCGGCCGAACCCACAGACACCGGGACGCGGCAGCACCGCCGGCCCCACGGGGCGAGCCGAGCGCCGCTTCCACCCTTACCTCGCACGGCTCCCGGCACGGCCCGTTAGAACGGCCCGCAGCGAGGCGTCCAACAGGCGTCGGCCGCACCGCGCGCCTTCCTCACCGCCCGCCCCTCATTCACACCCCGTCCTTCTTCAAGCCGCCCTCGGCGTCAACCGCGCCGCAGCGCAGCGTCGAGGGCCGGGAGGGCATCGCGGCAGCGCCCGTCAGACCCCGGCCCAGCGAACGGCGCGCGCCCCCCCCGGCCCCCCCGGGCCCCCCTGGGGGGGGGGGGGCCCCCCCCCCGCCCCCTCACCCCCCCCCCCCCCCCCCCCCCCCCAAGTCCCCATCGGCCGGAACGCAGCGGTAACAATTCTTTCCCACAATTTATTCAGGAAAATGTACAAAACGTTTCCAGCTCCGCTTTAGTCCTCCTCCTCCTCCTCCTCCTCGTCCTGGTTGATCTGGAAGTAGCGCAGCTCGTAGCTCTCCTTGCTGTTGGCCACCACACGCAGCCAGTCACGGAGGTTGTTCTTCTTCAGGTATTTCTTGGTCAGGTACTTCAGGTACCTGCGGGACAGAGCAGCTGGGCCAGCGCACGGCAGCGCCCCAAGGGTGGGCTGCCTGGCCCCGCTCACCTCCCCCAGCCACAGCCAGCAAAGAAGCGCCCACCTCCAGGCCCCCCACCCAGTGCTGCCCTCAGCCCCCCAGGGAATGCGTGGATTCTGTGTGCAGACACCACAAATGATCCCCAACATCCCCACCTGGCCAACCCCCCCTTGGGCAGGCAGCCACCACCTCCCCCTGCCCTCCAGAAGGGGGAAAACAAGGCCTCAGTCCCTGTGTGCTTCAGCAGCCCCCAGGATGTGCTGAGCTGAGCATCACAGCGACACCAGCAGCACCATCACACACCAACCTCTTCCCACTGCTCCAAGCCTCCAGATCCCCCATTTGCTATCTCCACCCACAGAAAAAAAAAATAAAAAATAAAAAAATAAAAAAAATCAACATTATCAAGGCCAGATAAGAGACAGAAATGTCAGGCAAGAGCCAGGCAGACGGCCAGCAGTATGAGAGTAAGGAAGCTGTAATGGAACAGCCTGGATACATACCAGGCACGGCCACACAGGTAAAGGCCAGGACTGCCTGCCTGCCACCTCAAAACACCAGCAGGATGCTAAAGGTGAGGCTCACAAAGGAGCACCTCGCTCCAAATTCCGCTCCTGTCAGTTGTGCATCCCACACAGCCGTCCTGCTGAGGTTTCTCAACCACATCTGTCTTAATCACTCAGTCATTGTACCTATCTGCACATGGTGCTTCACCAGGTCAGCACACCTTGATGCAAAGCATCACTTTATCACTTAGTGCTTCCTCACGCATTCCCATTTTAGAGGTTCAGATCTTGCACCTCTGGCACTAATGACGCCATCCTCACCAAGCACTGCAACCCCAGAAAAACAAAGCGCCTCCTCATGACACACGTCCACAGCAGCACACAGGGAAAACCCAGAGCACAGCTCAATTCCATTATAAGCAAAGGACCCGCAGCCCTCACTGCCCAAACACCCAGCAACCAGCACACACTGCCCAGTGCTGCGGTCCCAGCACTGTGCAGTGCTGCCTCACACAGCCCAGGGCTCAGCACAGCCCACAGCCCTGTCCTGCAGCACCCACCACGTTCTCACCTCTTGGAGAAGGGCACCTCTGAAGTAACAGTGATCTTGCTTTTGCTCCTCTCGATGGTCACCACGCCACCACCCAGGTTTCCAGCCTTCCCGTTCACTTTGATCCGCTCCTGTAAGAACTGCTCCTGTAGGAGGGAACAGACGCTCAGTCAGGGCTGCTGGCAGCTGTTCACGCTCAGCACTTCAGTGTTTTGGCCAGAACTAAAAGGAGGCAAAAGGACCACGTGCCACTGAAGAGCAAAGGAAAGCCTTCCCCTGTGGGCCTGGATCCTCTCACATGGGCAAACATTACAGCTGACACCGAGCCAGTCACACCTGCACAGAAGGGACACACTAAAGGCCAAGTGACCACAGCACTGCAGTAAAACGACATCTATGCTGTGAGCAGAGCAAGGCATGTTCTGATTTCTCTTGGACTCAACGACCCTTGCAGGTCCTTTCCAAATGAAGTATTCCCAAAAGATACTTCATCACAAACCCACACCTCAGAGACGTGCCTGAACGCAGCAACAAGCAAAGCCTGGCTGAAAGCAGCCATCAAACAGCGATGGAACGTGGTGCTCTCCTCCAGCGCTGCTCCTCAAAGCCCAGTGTGAAATAAAGCCTCACAGAGATGGATACTAAATAGCGCTCACAGATAGGCACACGCTTTAGCTGCAAGCTGAGAAGCAGCAATAAACCTCCACCAGCACCCAGCACTGAGGCTCCGGGCTGCCCGAGGAGTGCAGAGCAGCGAGAGGAGCACAGGGCTCACACACTGCAGGCCCCGCGCGGCCCCAGCACTCACAAAGTTGGCGGCGTCCATGATGCCATCCTCCACCGGGTGCGTGCAGTCCAGCGTGAACTTCAGCACCTGCTTCTTTTTTTTGCCACCCTTCGCCGCGGGTTTCTTCTGCGGGACGGGGAGAGAGAAAAGCCGTGAGGGTCGACGAGAGAGGACCCGGGGGCAGACAAAAAGGACGGGGTGAGGGCAGCCGGGAGCGGCCGGCGGTTCGAGGAGGGAAACAGGGACAGGACAGGAGCCCCGCACCGCCCGCACCGCCCGAGCCCGGCGGAAGGGGGAGGCGGAGGCCCGGGCCCAACACCACGCGTAGGTCCGAGCTGCGCCGGGCCGGGCCGGGCCCCCCAAGAGCGGAGCCGGGCGGACCGGAGAAGCCGGCCGGGCAGAGCGGGGGGCGGCCCAGAACGGACGGAAAAGCGAGCAGCGCGGCGAGCACTCACCACAGGCGCCATGGCGGCTCCAGCGAGGGGCAAAAAGGGAGCGCCTCCCCGCGCGCATGCGCGGAAGCTCTCTCGGGCGGCCACTGCGCACGCGCCGCCCCCCGCACCGCTTGCGCCCACGCCGCCGCCGGGCCGCACGCAGGGAGAGCGGCGGCGCGCGCCGTGCGTAGGCAGCGCCGAACGATCGCCGGAACGATCGATGGATTCCGGCCGCTGCGCGCCGCTGGGCCCCGCCCGCTCGTGTCTCTGCCGGCGGGCGAAGCGGCCTGGCCGACGCCGGGGGCCGCGGAGGGGGCGGGGCCGCCGGCTGGGGGCGGGGCCGGGGCGAGGGGGCGGGGCCCGGATCCCGCCGGCAGCGGCCACGTGCGTGCGGCCGGGCGCCGCGCCCCGCACCGGGCGGATGTGCGGTTACGGTGCGGGCGCGTCCCCGCGGTGTTGGCGACACGGAGCAGCCGAGAAGCAACCCGTCACGAGGGACACCCCGTGAAGGGGAACGCTCCGTCACTGGGGTCACCCCGTCACCGCGGAGCACCCCGACGTGGGGATCGCCGTGTCACGAGGGACGTCCCACTGGAAGGGACGCCCCAATAACGGGGATGCCCTAAAGACAGCGACGCCCCAATGACGGGGACACCCGTCGCGGGTTCACCCCACACGAGGCCCCATCCCGAGGCCGTGTTCCCGGCGGCATTGCCCCCCCCCCCCCGCAGCCCGCGGAGCCGCCCCGCGAGGCCCGCGGTTAAAAATAGCCGGGCCGGGAGGATCCGCCCCGCGGCGCTGGGGCCGGCGGCGGGGCAGGGGCTGCCGATGGCGGGCGGCATCTTCTCCCCGCTTGGGAGCTGCGCGGAGCTGGAGCAGGGCGCCTGGCACCCGCTGGTGTGCCTGCTGTGCCACGGCCCCTTCCAGCAGCCCTGCCTGCTCGACTGCTACCACGCCTTCTGCGCCAGCTGCCTGCGGGGCCGCGCCGCCTCCGGCCGCCTGCGCTGCCCCCTCTGCGGGTACGGCCAGGCGGGACGCCGCGGTGCGTGGGGGCTGCCCCGCGAGTCCCGCCCCGCGCCGGTGCTCAGCCCGCCCCTTCCCTCAGGCATCCCTCGGTGGTGCGGGGCGGCACGGGGCTGCCACCCGTGGACCGCCTGCTTCAGTTCCTGGTGGACAGCTCGGCGGAGGGCTCGGAGGACGCGCAATGCGCCAACTGCGACCGGCGATGCGTCGAGGCGGTGAGGAACCGGCAAAGCTCGAGACCCCGCTGCGACTTCGACACTGACGCCGCCGCCACCGCCTCTGTGCCCGCAGGATTTGGACACCATGTGCTTCTGCAACACCTGCAGCCAGCCGCTGTGCGCCCCGTGCCGTGAGGAGACTCACCGCGCCAAAGTCTTCGCCCGCCATGAGATCGTGTCGCTCAGCAAGCGCACCAAAGCCATCCACAAGAAGTGCCGTGAGTACCGCCCGCGGGCGCCGCGCTGTGCCGTGCCGCACCGGGCAGGACGTCCCTGTCCCTTGCAGCACTGCACGAGGAGCCCTACATCATGTTCTCCACCGAGAAGAAGTCCATGCTCTGCATCAACTGCTTCAGGGACATGCAGGGGTAAGTGTCCCCGTGTCCCCATACGCTTCCCCATGGCCGTGTGTTCCAGCCGTGCCCTCCTGCCCGCCTCGCCACAGGGAGAGCCGTGCGCACTGCATTGACATCGAGACGGCGTACGTGCAGGGCTGCGAGAAGCTGGACCAAGCGGTGCTGGTAGGTGAGCGTGGGGTCAGGCGCAGGGCCACAGCAGTGCCACAACATCCTTGCTGCCCCGCAGGCAGTGAAGGAGCTGCAGACATCCACACGGGAGGCCATCGTCCTCCTCAAGGCCATGATCGAGGAGGTGCGCAACAGTGCCAGCGAGGAGGAGTCAGCCATCAACGCCCTGTTCAGCGGCATGCAGGTGCGGGGCTGTGGGGCTGTGCCCGTGGGTGTCCCAGCAGCCCCGTGCCCTGTAGTGTGGTGCTGGCGTTGAGCTGGGCTGCAGGACAAAGTGTGCCCGTGCTGTTGGCAGGAGCAGCTCTCTGACAGGAAGAAAGCACTCTTGAAAGCTGTGCAGAGGTGAGAGGCTGCGGGGCCTCGGGTGCCCTCCTGGTGTGCACCGAGTGCCTGGGCAGCTCCTCACGGCCGGCTCCTGCTCTGCACAGCCAGCACGAGGAGAAAGAGAAGGCGTTCAAGGAGCAGCTGGCCCACCTTGCCTCCCTGCTGCCCACCCTGCAGGTAGGGCCGGGCCGGGTCGCTCACCCCTTGGTGTGCCAAGCCCTGGCTCTGGGCTGAGGGTCGGACAGACCCCGGGGAAGTGGCAGCAGTGACAGCGCTGTGCACAGGTCCACCTCGTGATCTGCTCAGCCTTCCTGAGCTCCGCCAACAAAGCTGAGTTCCTCGACCTGGGCTACGTGAGTAGTGCTGGCGCTGCGCAGTGTGCGGTGCCACGGTGCCAAGACCTCACACAGCCCCGACCCACCTCAACGCTGCCTTCCAGCAACTGATGGAGCGGCTGCAGAGGATCGTCAAGCTGCCGCACCGCCTGCGGCCAGCCCAGACCAGCAAGGTACCACGGGGCTGACCCCTGCCAACCCCCCATGGGCAGCCCCAGCCCCAGCCCTGCCCCAGCCCCACTGCCCATCTCATCCTGCAGATCAACACTGAGTACCGTGCAGAGTTTGCACGCTGCCTGGAGCCCCTGCTGGTGCTCACCCCTCGCCGCTCTGTGGTGGGCAGTGCTGGTGGCATCGGGTCTGGCATCAGCGGAGCAAACATGTGAGGTGCTGGGGTGGGGTGGGCAGAGGGGCTGTATGCTGTGCCACGCGTTCCCTCCTGAATCGCTGCATCGCCGTGCCCAGCTCACCCCCCTTCCCTGCCCTTGAGCCTGTCCCCATGAAGGTGGCACGGGGACAGCATAGAATGCAGCTGTGCTGATGAACGACAGGCACGGGGGCTTCAAGTGACAGTTCTAGGAACGGGGCAGGCAGTGCTGGCAGCGGCCACCGAGCAACACTGTGCAGTCTGCAGCCACACCAAGGGCCATGCCGAGCTCCAGCCAGCGCCGTGCCAGCTCCTGCTCACCGCACACCCCGCTTCACCGCGGCCCCGCAGCCTCTTGGCCCGCCACTATTTTTATCAGAATTTCAGAGAAGTGCCCGGCTGTTCCTTGCTGGGATATATTTAGGCCCATTGATGTCACAGTGGCGCGGGCCCTGCCAGGCGCTGCCGGCTGCTCGTCCCGCGGAAAGGACAAACAGGCGCTGCCACCCATGGGCACCACTCCTCGCACCCGGCCGGGCTCTGCGGCATGGGGCAGCTGAGCACCAGGACAACAGAGCTGCATAGTGGGACTGCAACCCTGCACGGTGGGATCGTGGCATTGCTTGATGGGGAAGTGGTGCTGCTTAGTGGGACTGCAGCGCTGCACGGGGCCAGCAGGGAGCCGGGGGAGGTGGTGGCAGCAGTAGGGGTGCAGGATGGGGCAGAGGTGGGCAGGGAGCTCCTGCACCAAGCTGGCTCCTGCCTCCTTTGTGCCAGAGCTGAGCTGGGCAGTGAGCACCAGTGCGGGGCTTGTTATAGAAGCCTGATTTTGGGGCAGCACAACGTGCTTCCAACCAACCTGGGTACCCGAGTGCAGGAAGACACCAGGGGGGCGCTGGAAGTTTGTATCTCAGGGGTTGGATGTCCTCAGCCCTGGACACGGTTCCAGCTGCAGGGAGCAGCAGGTCCCAGGGGCCGCCCTCTGCATCCCACCGCCGTCACCTCCATGCAGGATCCCCGGCGGCCAATGCTCCAAGACACTGATGGTGCCCGGCTGCCCCCCCGCTGGTGATAAGATGTCCAGCAGTTCCATGGTGCGGAAGCCGACGCTGCACCGATACATCAGCACCAAAGTGCTGCTGGCCGAGGGCCGCGAGACGCCGTTCGCTGAGCACTGCCGCAACTATGAGAACACCTACAGGGTATGGGGCAGGTGGGGGGGGAGAGGAGGAAGCTCCTGACCCTCACTGCCCATTGCTGTGCCTCTCCCGTGCGCGCAGATGCTCCAGGCAGAGATCCAGGGCCTGAAGGACCAGGTGCAGGAGCTGCACCGTGACCTCACCAAGCACCACTCCCTCATCCGCACGGAGATCATGAGCGAGATCCTGCAGAAGTCGCTGCAGATGGATGTGCAGATTGCGGCCCACTACTCCTCTGTGGAAATGATGCGCAGCGTGTTTGAGGAGGTGCGGGGGCAGGATCCCTTCCTCCCTCCTCCAGAGCTGCATGCCTGTGCCAGCAGCACCGGTTCCCATTGCAGGTCTGGGAGGAGACGTACCAGAGGGTGGCCAACGAGCAGGAGATCTATGAAGGTACGACTGACGGGCAGAGCCAGCCCAGCAGCAGCTCAGTGCTGCAGGGCACAGACACGGCACTCTCGTCCCCAGCCCAGCTCCACGACCTGCTGCAGCTGCGGCAGGAGAACAGCTGCCTGACCACCATCACCAAGCAGATCGCGCCCTACGTCCGCTCCATCGCCAAGGTGAAGGAGCGGCTGGAGCCCAGGTGAGCAGTGCGGGTGCTTTTGGTGCTGGGGCCCATCCCTGCTCCCCTTTCTATACCCAGCCACGTCCGGCTCATCCTGCTGCAGGTTGCAGGAGCCCCGGGAGCCCAAGGATGAGCACACGCAGATGCTGCTCAGGGTTGATGACAGCAGTGAGGCAGCACAAAGGTAGGTGACAGCCAGGGTCTCAGTGCAGACAGCTCAGGGCATGGGGACGCCTCATTCCAGCCCCTCGTGCTGGCAGCAGGAAAACATTGGTGCCATCTGCATCGCCCCACGCCTCTCTGGACGGCGAGGAGGGAAAGCAAAGTGCTTTCAGGGGGTCAGGTGCCCTTGCGTGCCCTCTGAGCACAAGGGATCGGAGGGGATTAGAGCTCTGGAAAAGAGCTGCTTAACCCAGCGGGCTCAGCTGCCTGCCCCTGCCCTAGGGACAGCTCACCCAGCGGCACGGACAGCAGGGAGCGGGCGCTGGGCAGCCGAGGGGGCTGCACACCCGCTCTCATCCCCAGGGATTCACCCCCAAAGAAGAAGGAGCACCGTGGCAGCACACAGAGCAGCGGGACCCCGAGTGCAGAGCGGCAGGAGCCCCCCGGCTCGAGCTGAGCTCCGGGAGCTGCGCTGCTCAGCATCGGCTGTGAGCGACCGCGGTTTGCGTGGGAATGGTCAGCTGTGGGAGAGCTGCCCTGCGGAGGCACAGACCTGTGTCCAGCACGCCTGGATGCTGCCTGCTTTTGTCTTTCTGTTAGCGGGGGTTGTGGTTTTCCTCATAGAATGTTCAAACACGTGGCTCGTGCCATCAGCAAGGATGGAAAAACAGACTGAATGTGGCTGAGTTTGGAGTGTATCGCATAGCAAACATCCGGCTTAGGATGACTGAAAGAAAATTCCTTTGTATTCCCCATCCTGTGTGTGAAAAGTGAAAATAAAAGTGCATAAATGGACTCCGCTCTTTGTTCTGGCTCAGGGCAAAGGGGTTTGCCAGGTCTCGTTGGTGCAGCCCTTCTCAAAAAAGGTTGAAACAACTGAAAAAAAATAAATAAATTTGAGCTCACAAATAACTACACAGAAATCATCACTACCTGGTTGTTATATTTTCATGTTTGCTCTTCTCCTCCAAGCTAAAAAACACAGTAAAAGAATCTGTCAGTGAACGTTTTAAGCTGACCCCAGTGCAGAAAGTGCTCTGTAATACAAAGCACAACCCCGAGAAGAAAGGATTCCACACAGGTTAAGCAAGTGGAGCCCAAGGATTTGCACCTATCTCACCAGCTACGAGATTCAGGTACTGGGAGTTGTAGTTACACTTCAGTGTAACACTGCAGAGCACTGAAAACCCATTGGGAGTTATAAAATGAGGAACTTGAGGTTTGATGCTCCGACCGTCACCTCGAGGTCCCCAAATAACAACCAGACAGAAGTTGGCAATTATTTTTTTTCCTCTTTTATAAAAAAAGTCACAAAAGCGATTCCCATCAGTGCCCTCTTTCCTGAGCTGAATCACAGTATCTTGCCAGGAATACTGCAAGCCCAAAGCATGTGCTGACAAGCGACTCATTTCCATTCCAGCAAGGAAGAACTACGTAAAACCCAAGAAAACAGTGAACCTCTTTGGTATATCACAACTGAATAAATTATACCACAAAGCTTGAATAGGAACCATTTCCAAAATGGCAATGTTTAAAATAGCATTAGCTAGCCAAACTTTTTTTGTTTATAGAGAATTTCCCTGGAAGCTTCTCCCATCCATACCAACATCCCAGGTTTTCCCCCAAACCAAGCACTACAGCTCTCTGGAAGCCCCCTCCCGACTCCAAACCAAAGCCCTGGGATCTCTGGGGACAGAGCTGGCCAGCGGAGACGCCTGGCAGGGCAGGAAGCAGCGTGATTTGGAAGCAGGTCTTGGACGAGCACCGTCTGCACGCGCAGAGCAGACACAGCAAGGAGGCTTGGGACAGAAGCGGCCGGATGGCTTCTGAGCTCACGGAGAGAAACGAGAGCCGCTCATCCCCGGGCACAGCATGGAGGTGCTGGCAATGCAAGAGTGCCAGGAGCTCGGAGGAGCTCCATCAGCAGCGTCAGGGGAGCCCCGCTGCATGCCGTGCCGCCAGCTGACATGCAGACGTTCCACAGACCGGTGCGTCCGACAAGACGAGAGGCGTGCTCCTGCAAGCTGCCCGAGAAGCAGCCAGGGGCTTGCAGGACCAGGCCTCCAGAGATTAAAGCTGTGCTGTCTGGCTTGTGAGGTCAAAAAGCTTTAAAAATTTATGCCATCAGAACGACGATCCAGCTGGCATCTTTTCAGTGCAGGGGTGGAAGGGCAAAACTCATTCTCCAGAGGAATCAGTCCACATGAGCTTCAGTACAATTCAGCTGTTTTAGGCAGGAGGATCATTTCTCTTTAAGATTGCTATAGGCTAAGTTATCCAGAAGATCCCTGAATGTGCAACGGAGGACTCTTATCTCGAGGAGGATGAACGAGCTGCTGATCTCCTAGTGACCTGGAAGGCCGCCCAGCCCTGCAGCCCTCAGCGAGCGGACAGCTGGGAAATGGGAGCAGGCTGCTCGGCGCCAGCACTATGCATAGTTCCTCACCCAGAGCTGGAGGTTTTCTCAACCGGTCCAGTTCCAGCCCGTGCTACAGTTCCACTTTCACTCCTTTAATAAAAGGGAGACCCGATGGCACCTTCCTTTTGTACTCCAGATATTCCTCTCCAAAGAAATGAATGAGCGTGATCTCCTCCTCTTCTATCCTCTCCCTGAAGAAGCGCCATGACGCTAACGTGTAGCCGACCACGCAGATGGGATTGCAGAGCAACACCTGCCAGCAGACAACAGCAGTTACCACCCCTTGGGCTCCACCACGGCCCCATCCCCACAGGGCACCAATGCTGACAGCCCGCGGTTCTGTCACATACAGGTTTGGGGCAGCATTAACAAGCAATCAGATCATAGGAGGAAAGGATCCGAGGGTTTTGCATACAGTACCTGTGTTCCAATACTCCAGTAAAACCATCCCACGTAAGACGGGTGCCGGAACCACCCATACACCCCACTTGTCACCAAAGTATGAGTGTCCGATTTCTCATTCTGAACAATATGGTTGAAGTTGGAGCCAGCTGTGAGCATGGCAGCTTTCCTCAGACAATCCCCAAAGATCACCATCAATAACCCTACAGTACTCAGCCAGGTGATCTGCTTCATCTCTGCAAGTGAAGAAGCACGGGTCACTACAGGTTCGAGCAGGGGGCTCCGCGCTGAGGGCAGGGGGTGCAGGCGGGACCCCAGGGAGGTCAGGCAGGGTCACAAAGGTGGCAGGGCTTCTGCCCCACCTCAGAGCAAAGCAATGAACATCGCACAGGCTGTGCTCAACACGCTGCCGCTCTGCAACAAGAAAAGCATCAGCTGCTGCACCCCTGCCCCTTAACTGAGTGAACAGCACCGTCTGCAGCACACAGCGCTGCCACTCTGAGAGACACAGCATGAAGCAGGGCCTGGCTTTGTGTTGTGAAGCAAAGCTCAGGCAGAGCAGAGCTCATCCAGCAACCCTGGGGTTCAGCAGGAGGCTCAGCAGCCTGGCATTACAGCCACCTCCACTGCAGGGGAAGGATAGCACCACCCTCCACCAAAAAGCAAACGGATTTGCAGACACACGTAATTTAAGTAAGGCTATTTCTATTAGCAGTACAGCATGACAAGCGTGGCCAGAAGCACCATCCAAGCACATGAGCGGGTGTGTTGGGGAGCACAGCACGGGGCTGAGGCTGACCTGGCAGCAGGAGCTTCTCCAGCGTGAACTCCACCCAGGACGAAAGTGCGGCCAGGTTGTACTCAAAGCTGTGGTTGAGCAGGAAGGAATCCAGCGAGAGGCTGCGCGGGTTGTTGATGGCCGTCACCAGGTACTCGGAGTAGTGGAACAGCGACAGCGAGCACATGTACCTGCGGGGGGGGGCACCGCGGGGCCCGGGGGTCGCTCGCATCTTGGCCCTGGGGCCTGGTGATCCCTCCTCTCCCGGTGCGGCCCCCCCAGCTCTGCGACACTCCTCCTCCGTTCCCGGCGCCCCCCTCGGAGCACCACCCAACCCCCCCCATAGCCTCTCCCGGCCCTCACCAGCCGAAGTGCCGCCACGCGGAACGGCCGGCGCTCAGCAGCAGCCCGCAGCCGAAGGCGAAGCCCAGGAAGCCGGCCCGGATGGCGATCTGCAAGCAGAGAACAGGCAGCGCGCTGCCGTCGGCCCCGAGGCCCAACCCGGCGCCCCCCGCACCGCCCCGCCCCACACCTTGTACAGCGGCCGCGGGTAGAGCAGCAGCAGCGCCGCGTTCACGACGGCCACGTGCAGGGCGAGCGCCAGGCGGCCCCGCAGGCCCGGCGCGGCGAGCAAGGCGGGCGGAGAGCCCAGAGCCAGCGGCAGCGCAGCCACCGAGGCACCCAGCAGGAAGGCGGCCAGACTGGCCCGCGCCTCCCGGCCCAGCCGCCCGCGCCGCCACCGCCCGGCCGCCTCCGTCGCCGCCATCTTGGCGGCACGCCCCGCCCCGCCCCGCGTCGCCCTGGAAACGACCGCGCGCGCAGCTCCACGCCCTCGCCCGAGTTCTCGCGAGACGACCCGCCCCGCGGCGGCGTTCTCGCGAGAGTGCGAAAGCCCGCACCTGCGCGGTCGCTGGGGGATGCCGCTCGGAGCGCGCGGAGGCGCCCCGCCAGCAGCTCTGTGCAGCGTTTTTTATTGAAAACTGGAAAACACGAACGGCGAAAAGGAGCGCGGCCGAGCTGCGGCCCGAGCTGCCGGCGAACGGCGCGCTGCCTCGGGCCGTGGCCCCGCGCCGCGCCCTATGAGGCCGAGCCGATGGAGTCCGACAGGAAGGTGATGTACCCCGAGGAGGCGGACGGCGAACTGAAGAAGCTGCTGGTGCTGCCCCGCCCGCCGTCCCCCAGGCCCGGCCGTGCCGCCCACGGCTCCACGCCCGGCCCCGCTCGCCGCGCCCGCCCCGCGCAGCCCCCTGCCGGCATCGGCACGGGGAGCCGCGCCGGGTCCTCTGACGGCTGCCCCGGTACCGCGAGGCCGGGCGGCCGCCGGGGCTCCCGCTGGAGATCGGCTAGGGGGAAGGCGGAGAGCAGCGCCCGGTGCTGCGCCGCCGCGGGCAGCAGTGCCATCGAGGCCGAGCGCCCCGTGCCGCCCCCCGCCCCCCGCTCGCCGCTGAACGCGTGCAGCTCGGCCAGGCGAAGGTCCTCGCGGGAGAGGTGCGGCGGCACGGCCAGGCTGTCGGCGGAGCGGCGGCGGAAGGCGAGCCGCTCGTCGGGGTGGGGGCTGAAGCCATGGTGGGGCCGGTCACGATGGGGGGCCAGAAGCCTTGCCAGCCCCGCCACCTCTCCGCCTGGCCCCCAGTGCTGCAGGTATGCCGCGACCTGGCTGCTGGTCCACAGGTCTGTCTCGTCGTGAGAGAAGCGACGCAGTGGGGGCACCTGTGAGAAAGCATTGTTAGCACTGGGGGCTGCGGCTCCGCTGCCCTGGCACCTGCTGCCCACCCTCACCTGCAGGTACTGCATGCGGTCCCCCGGCTCCGTCCTGGCAGGGCTCACTGGGGGCAGGCTCTGCTCCAGCACTGAGAAGTCACGTGTGGCAATAGGGTCCAGCACCAGGACCTCAGCCGCGCAGCCGTACTCGTAGGGGCGGTCGTACACCAGCTCTCCTGCCACGGCCACTGCACCCTCCAGGCTGCTCTCTGACAGGAATGGGTGCGCTGTCATTTTGGGCACACCCTGCCCTCAGCACGTCCCCCCCTGCCACGCACCCCACCTTCGTCCTCATCTTCGTTGGCCAGCACGGTGCGGCACTTCTCGCAGACAGCACGCGGGTTGGCACGGTAGCGGTCGCAGGCCCAAAGGAAGAGGGGCAGGAGCAGGGACTGTGCCAGCGAGCACCAGAGGAGACACAGCACCATCCACTCG